TAAAGGACACATACATTTAAAGAGCTTGTCTTCTTTCTGTTCAGTGTTGATTTATGAAGGAGTATAGCAATGGTCAAAGGGACCCTCATCAATTCTACACCAGAGTCAACACTATTTTTCGATGGTCATCAGTTTTGGGGGGCTCTCCAGGTGGTTCACTGCGCCAGTGGAAATGGCCTCCTCCTCATTTCCTCAGGGTAACTCCCACCTCCTCTTGGTGTTGATAAAGCATGCTTTGTGCATGGGTTGGGTTCAGGTGATGGAAGTCTTTAGCTAACTAATCGGCACTCTGTGCCTTACAGAAGAATCTCGACAAAGTGCTCACTGTACCCTGGCCTGATGACTCCCTCAGGAAAGGCAGTGGGTGTGGAGCAAAGAGCACCAAAATTGGAGTCAAAAGGACGTCAGGCTTGTCCTAGCTCTTTCCTGATTCAATGATCCTCCTCCATCTCCTTCCCAGTAGAGAGATGATAACACTCATGGCCTGCCAACAGCACAAGGCTATGCATGACACAAGTAGGAACAAGAATGTGGAAGTATTTTGTAGGCCATAATGTGCTGGGCAAATATAAGGTATGCCTTGTATTTGATTCCACAAAGTCCCTGCCCTGACTGATCTGAGTCTCTCCAACTGCCAACATCAGTACCTGGTGTCTCACCTGATCAGAGCAGCAGAGCCCTCCTTGACAGCCAGGAGATAGAGTCATCCTCAGAAGTGACGTTTTCCATTCAAATAGCCCATTCATCGCACTCCTTCAGCTCCCATCTGCTGTGTGCAGATGCCACCACCCTGGGGATGTGACCCAGTTGCCTCACCACACACAGAGCTTTCCTCCCAGAGCACACACACCCCGGACATGGGATGTAGCTGTGCTCCCAGCAGAGCAGTCCAACACACCTCATTGTCCCCACGCTACACCCACGGTTTGCCCTTTCCTGCTGCCCCCTTGTCCATGTTGCCCCTTAGTGGTGTTCCCACGTCCTGGAGGCGGCAGTGTAATTTCCCTTTCATTATCAGTTTTCTCAGGATGTAAGTTACTCACTGTGACTCAGTATGAACTTAAGTACTTCTAACAATGTTGTTTACAAATTAGGAATTGGTGTTGATAATGTTGAAAAAGGATCGACGCAATTTATTCACACTACTCAGGCCCCAGGCAGGCCCTAATGTTGAAACAAAATTGCAGAGAAGGGCGATTCAGAAGAGATCCAAGAAAACGAAATCAAGAGATAGACAGCACAGCCTCGCAGACAGGGTTAAAACAGTTGGAATTATTTTGGCCTAAAGGGGAAGTATGCAAAATGCTGGCCACTTGCTCTCCATCTCCACCAAAGAAGGAAACCAGGAAATGTTTTAAAATGTAGCAAGACGGATTTAGGTTAGATATAAAGAAGAATTTCTTGATAACGTGGGTTAAATATTGCAAGGGTTTACAAAGGAAATTTGTGGAATTTCCTTCTCTGGCAATCTTTCCATATTAGGATGGGTTCCACTTGATAGGATGGTTTAAAAAAGCATTTCACAATTTTTCTCAAATGTCTGTCCATTCACTTTGGCAATTAGGCAAATAGATTGAAGGAGCTGTAGTGAATATCTCTGACTCATGACTGCCTCTATATCTTAAACAACTTTTGGGAGGGAGGTTCATTTTTATAATTGTGGTAAAATATACCTGATATAAAACTTAATACTTTAACCATTTTTAAGTGACAAACCCATTGGTATTAAGTATATTCACATTGTTGTGCAACCATCACCACTATGCATCTCCAAAACTTTTTCCATCATCCTAAACTTAAACTCTGTGCTCATTAAGTGATAACTCCCCATTCTCCTCTCTCTCCAGCCCCTGCTATCCTCTATTTTACCTTCTGTCTCTATGAATTCGAGCTTTTCTGTATTTTGATGATTACCCTACAGAGTGAACTTCACCTTCGCAACATATCCCAGCCCCTTTTGCCAGTAAGGTGAAGACATGGGACCTTTATTCTGCCCATCAGGCATGCCCATGCGAGTCCTGGACCACAACTTAGGAATCTGAGAGGCAGGCAGGCTAGCAGCATCCGTTTGGTTGGAGCAGGATGGAAGATGTTGGTGATGGTACCAGTAGTTTTCCAAACTGGGTTGGAGTAGCATGGTTCTCTGGTTGGTGGCGTCGGGGGAGCTTCCTCGTTGTGCAGGAGAAGACTTGTTCATGATACTGGGGTGAAACATGCCCTTTTCCAGGCTAGTCCTCTGGTGTGACAAGGAGCTGGGAGTTATTTCTGGAAGATTTCCTCAGACTCCATGCCTTCTGTAATTATGATTCTGTAATCTGCTCGATACGCTCTAATAAATCCCTTCCCGCTGACACCAACTAGAATGGATTCTGTTGTCTGCTTTCAAGAACCTTGACCAATACAGGGGCAATTATCTCCTGGTGTTGATTCCTCTCGTAGATGATTTTTTTCCCTTCCCATAGAAGGGAGAAGGAAGTGAGTTGGACCCAGGAGGGCCAGGCAGTTGGTATAGACAGGGCGACTTTCTCCAGCCTCTTGGTGATGTCTTCATATGGCTATGTGTAATAGGGAGTCGGGGTGGGGAGGCACAGGATTTTGAAATGGGCACAACAGAGATAGCACAAGAAGGTCTCCACCTTCCTTGCAGGGACTTTCAGAGTTGCTCTCCCTCACGGGAACTTTGTGGTGGCATGTCTGCATGCACAAATGGTTCTCTGTGTGAGACCTTAAATACCTACCTTCATCTGGGAAGCACTTCTCCCTTCCACTGAGCCTAACGGATGAGCCTGTGTTGTGTGCAAAAGAGGGTGGTTTGGAGGAGCGGGGAGGAGGCATTCTCTCCTCTGTGCTCCTGAGGGGTCATTACTGACTTTATGGAAGGGGAGCCAGTGCTCAACTGTCCCATTTTGCTGCTCCTTAACAAGCTGCCAAGTCCCTGGAGGCTCCCAGAAGTAGTTGGCTTGTTTTCTCTCTGGTTATAGATCCACGAGTGTCTGCAAGCTCCTCAATGGCCAGGTCTTGCACGTGTTTGTAGCCCTCACTCTCCCAGCATGGGTATTTCCATTAACACACTCAGGCAATGTTCAGTTCCTGGCTAGCCTATGGAAGCATGAGCTTGCATGTGTGTCTGGTTATCATCTCTTCTAAATTTCAGTATTTATCTTTGACTATGCTATGCGTTTATTCTACTTTAGTTATGTTTTCAATCTCGAAAATCTCCTCCTCGCAGCTGCATTGTTCCTTTTTCATTGCATTCTATTCTTATTACATGAATGTAATGTGTTCTCACATCATGGCCAGGATATCAATGAAAATTGATAGATTAACTAAGACAGCAAACTCTGGGGCTAGCCGTCCCTGTTAGAATCATGGCTCCACATCTTAACAGCTGTATGCCCTTGGGTAACTCACTGCACTTCTCTGTGCCTCAGTTTCCTTTTCTGTAAAATGAGGATAGTGATAGTACGTACTTGGTAAGGTGATGGTGAGACATACATAAGTTAATATATATAATAAGTCCGAAGAACAGTGTCTGACACCAAGTGCTATGTAAATGCTAACTGTTATTAAATTCTCTTCTGTTTTCTGGAGAGTTGGTTTTTCTGTTTTATTATTTTGATCTTTTTCTTCTGTGCTTCTGGTTTTCCTAAACTTTTTGTTATCTAACCACTTTTAAGAATAAAGAATGAGGCCCTTTATTCTAGGTGACTGGTGTAAGTTTCCTCTGCTGGTGTGTGAATAAGTCTTTTTCCAAATGTATCCTGTACACATTGAAATTTGGCTGGCAGCTTCATGTATGTGGGCAAGGGCATATCAAATAAGCTGAGTTGTTTCAGAATGAGAGAGATGGGCATCAGCTGACAGGTTGCAGTTTCTCTGAATGCTAGAACAAAGAGGTTTCAAATGTCTATACCCCAGTAGAAGCCTTAGTGGCTCAACCAATTTATTGATCAAAGAGGCTTCAGGCTGCTTGCCTCTCTACTTTCTGGTGTAAGGAAGGAGAGGTACATCGGGCAGCTATCTGGTTCCTAGACCTCCAGATAATCTTCCGGTTTGCTCTAACTTCCACACTCTGCCTTATTTGCTCACTTCAGGTGGTGCCTCCAGAGGGAAGGCTGACTCCACCTCCATCTCCACCGCAGTCTGCAAGTAGATTTGGACCTGCCTTTTGCTCTGGTCTATTTCAAGTGCCAATAACCCTTTATCCCTCTCCTGTCTTTCAAAAATTTGTTGGAATCTCTGTTCTAATGTTACCTCTTCCACCCTTCCATTATCTTCTTTGCTAATTAAATTGATTTTTTTGTACTGCTGTATGATAACTTAAAATCACTGGGATTTCCATTAGATTGATGGGAGCTCTGTTGCTCATTCTACCCTCTTGATCCGGAACTAACATCACAAGCCTTATTATTGGGATCACTGGAGATTACCAGTTAATTATTCATTCTCCTCTTCTTGATTCTCAAACAATTGAAAACAAAGACAGTAGTCTTCCACCTCAAAAAAAAAAAAAAAAGGGGGCCACACATAGAGAAAATTAATGCATTATCTCTTCCAAAAGGAACCAAGATGAACAGATGTCAGGACCTCCCTAATTGCATCAATTGATTAAGTCACTTCCTCCTCTTAGGGAAGGGAGAAGCAAAATGCAGAGAAAATAGTTGTGTTTGGCCTCAAAGAAATTGCCTTTGAGGCGAGAAGTATTGGTAAGTTCCTATTTTATGAGCTGAGGTGGGAACATAGGGAATGAAACAGTCGGAATATCTTTATTTTATAGATGAAGTACCTGAAACTCTGGGGGGCAAAATGACTTGTTCAAGGTCACAGAATTTATAAGTGATAAAACTAGACTCTAGCATTTCTAACTTGGAGCCCTCTAATTCTTCCAGTCTACCTTCCTTCTGTATAATATGCTACTGTGACCTCAAATACCAAAACACCAAATCTTCAAACACGTATTCAACAAAATTAATAATATTTATTTGGAATTACATTCTCTCACACACTTACTATATGGTAACTCCTAAGGCAAAAAAGAAAACTAATACAGTTTAGAAATTTCAAAAATATACTGGAAGCAAAAGGATTTTCAGGCTCTCATTAATCTATAACATTTTATTAACCAGAGTTATTGTTTTTTTCTGCTTTTCAAGCTTTCTGATATACATTTTTCTAGCATTTCCTATTTCAGCCTTTGAGTTTCTTAGAAAATAGTTGACTCCATCCCTGAAAGCGCCCAGTAGTAAATCGCGAGTGTCTGTATTTCTCAGCATCAGAAAAGCAAAGCATAAAACTGAAACGACTCCCTCAGGAGACGTAAGAGTTGCGAGTCTTCACGACCCTGCAGATGGCTGGAAGTCGGAGAAAGCCCATTTTACGCAGGGGTGGATACTGATCCCGCTCTTCTCACGAAATAGCTGGTAATGACATTTGGCCATTTTCATTAAGCATCTCATTTTTTCCTCTGCTCAGCTTGAGATCGGTTCCTGAATTACAATCCCTGGCAGGACAGCTGAAACAGGAAAATATTAAGTTGCTGGCACACAGACACTCCTTTCCTTCACCCTGAGATTCCATTAAGGCATCTCAGGCCTTTCACTGTCGGTTTTTATAATAGGTATATCCACATTACTTCAGGAAAAGGAATAGCTAGCTGAAGCAAAGGTTTCTGGTGTCTTCTTTGCAGCATAAAAAGATAAAAGGAGAAGAGAATGTACTATCTGGGTAACGCAGCCAAAACACCACCACATTTGTGACCTGATCAGCTGAAGAGTTTAGAAACAGCATTTCTTCCTTCCTTCTGATATTTCTAGGGCACCTACGATGTGTTATTCAGTATGCCCTGAATTGGGATATACAGACGACCAGAGCAAGGACCTGACTGTTAAAGAGCCCAGAGTCCAGCGACGGAGACAGAAGAATGAACTGTTAGAATGCTGTGTGATCTGTGCCACAATCGGATGTGCTTCAGGTGAGGAGATGAATATAACATAGTCGAGAAGAGCAGCTTATCTACCTGGTGCAAGGAGGAGGGGAGCATTGAGCTGAACTCTAACAAACAAAGACAGACTTTCCAGAAAGACCAGATAAGGGCATTCTAGGCAGAGAGAATAGAATATTTAGGCAGAGAGAAAGGAAAGAGGACAGTGTGCTTAACACATAAAGTCATTACAGCTGGAGCAGAGTGTGAGGAGAAGGCATCATGGGGCGGCACTAGATGAGACAGGGAACAGACAAATGGGGTTGTTGACATGAGAGGACTTTGAACCTTTTCCTCTAGACTTGTCTTTTCTACCAGGTCTGAGTTTCTTAGGTACTTTTTCATACGGGACTTCCTAGTGGCACACTAAAATGAACTTGCATCTATATGTACTGCAGAGCTTTTTAGGTCTCAGTGTGAGTAGAACTGCATCCTGCCTGGATTATCAGGTAGGAAAAGCGCCCTCATGTTCCATGGACACATGCTTCCCTTGGTCCAACTTGACATTTCTCAATGCCACTAGCTTTCCTGTAGTAACCTGCACCCCTGCTCCATCGTCTCATGATCACCTCAATTCAATGTTCTGTGTGACAGATGTCACTGCCATTGTGTTATCCCTGGCTGGAGCCCACAAAGAAAAACAGGTGCACATTGCCCCAAATTTGGCAACACATCTGTGAAAATGACCAATTGAGAAAATGATAAAGTGAGAATCATTCCCAGGAATCCATTGAAATTAAGCAGGAGGGTGACAAGAACACATCTGTGCTTTAGGAATGTAATTCTGAGAGAGGGATCATCTAGACACATTACGGTCACAGCCTTATGGAAGTAGTGAGGAGGGAGAGCAGTGTGTAGATAAAAATATATGCAGAAATAAACAATCTGAGAAGGCAGCATAGCACTGTGATTGAGAGCTTAGCCTCTGGAGTTAATCAGCTTGCGACTCATTTCTTCCTTCTTTACTCACCTGTTGGATGATGTTATCTGGCAAGTCGTATAACATCTTCGTACATCAGTTTCCTCATCTGTAAAATGGAGATTATAATAGTACTTGCTTCTTAGAATCGTTGTGAGGATTAAATAATACATGAAGAGCAATTAAAATAGTATTTGGCACAACAGAAGTGCTCAATAAATGTCATATCATTATCCCAGAAAGAGGAAATTGATGGGATATGGAAATTGATAGAATAAAGGGAGATTAAAAAAAGAAGACATGAGGATAACTTGACAACTGGGATAACAATTGACTACCTGATAACGAGGAAAGACTCCCAAAAGGTGTGAAGATTTTGGGAAGGTCGTGAAAGAAGAAAGAAAGTCTCAGGTGTTGTTTGAGGAAGTTGCCATATATGCAAATTGAGATGACAAGAAGTGAGTTGGATATAGATGAGTCTGGGGCTCGGTGTGAAAGACTGGATGGAAGATATAGATTTTGGGAACCATCAGTCAACAGGTGAAAGTTGGGGCCAGAGGGGAGAGGAGATTGCCAAGGAGAAAGTAAAGAAAATAAAGCAATTTATCCTTAAGACAATTACTTAAAATACTCAGATAATTTTCTTTGCTTCTCTCTTTTAAATTAATGCTGTTTTATTTTTCTGATAATTCAGGTAATACGTGCTTTCTGCATAAAATTCTGAGCCCTTTCTTAACGTTCCTTTTGTTAAAAAAATTTTTTTATGTGATTTTTCATTAGTAGCCTGTGCTCTGAGAAGAAAATGTTCTTGAGTCATCCCACGTCGGGCCTTTGAACACAAGACAAATGTAAAATACCTCGGGCTCTGTTGCCTTCAGTGAAGGCCAAATAAAAGTAATCAGCTTGAATCCACCCCTCGTTAAATGAAAGCCCAGCTGTGCTGCTGTCCAGACATGGGGCTTGGAGCCAAGTGGCAGGGGGATGTGCGGCTTACTCCCTGATGGGGGAAGAATACCGGGGCCCTTGTAAAGCTGCTGACACTTTGGCAGGGCAGGCTGGTATTAGAGGAAAAAGCCTGTGATTACTTCAAGCACAGACGTTTTCCCTTCAGGGGCCTTACTGTGCAGCCTGGAAGTTAAACTGCGAAGTGACCACCAGGGTGCTGTCAGGGCTCTGGCTTCACCCGCCTGGCCTCAGATGCAGGTGGGGGTTGGGGGAGGTGCTCCTCGGTGCCCTCCTCACTGCCCAGGACTGCTGAGGCCTGCGATGGGGGACCACATCAGAGGGAAGATGATTCCGAAAGCTTTCCACAGTGATCCAGTGCATGCTCTATACCAGTGCCCCAGCCTCTCTACCTCTGCCTTCTCCAGCCCCTGTTTGGATCTGGAAGACATCCAGTGGTGGGTAAAGCAACAGGCAGGCTGAGTATGGCTACAGGGCACCAGCAAAAGTGAGCCACCAACCCCACGCCAACAGGAAAAGTCAAGCTCCAATGAACCCGCCCAGGATTCAGTAATCAAAAGATCTAGAAAGAAACTATTTTAATTTCAGCATTCCCGCAAGTCGAGTTTCACTATTTAGGTGTTATTCTGACTTACTGATGGCAGAGAGCTCATAATATTCTCAACGCTGAGAGCCTCTAATGGTATTCATCTGACCCTGAGCAAATGGTCAGTGTCAGTACTCTGGGGCGCTATGTGGTGAGCTGAGAATATTTGTTCCTCACTTATTTCTAAGACCATGTCCATTTCCCTTGCATGTGGGGAGAAGAAAAGGACCTGACATTCTCTTTCCAGATCCTCAGGCAGTTGTTTTTATACTTCTGGTTGACCTCCTCACCTGAGACAGGAATAGCGATATATGACTTGCTTCTTCTGACATTTTATCCCCTGCTGCCTGCCTTACTCATAGCTTCAGGGTTAGCCACTTACCTTCAGTAACTCTGTTTTTCTGCTCCTCTCCTCTGCCATCGCTCAGACACCTAACATTCCCTGCGCTTTTATGTCGACAACTTCTTAGTGCTGTATGAAGTTATCCCATATTCTTCCGAGTGTGCTTTGTCCAATTGCCATTAAACACTGCTGAGGCTTACCGTTTATCACAAATCACATCAGGCAAGGCCAACTCATTGTGAACTCTCTTCTCGAACTTCCAGAAAATCTGTGTGAGTATGTAAGGTTAAGGCAAAACAAACTAACAAGAAACATGGCCAGTCTGAAAACAAGTGCAAAACCCTGAAAGATTCTGGCTCTTGACCAGAATTATTACATGGGAAAACTCAACTTTCCCCACCCATTGTCTTTCCCTGCCTTTCCTGGGGTTTCAGATTCCGTCATGATGTCACCACACAGAGCTCACGGCAGGTTAGTTAGAGGAAGCTACTCAAATCTTGACAATTTCACCCTTGGTTTACTGTCCTCAGTCTTAGATCCATGCCCACCCTTCCCACTCTTCCCCTTCTCCTTCCTGTTTTCCCACCCCCACCTTACAACACATTCCCCTTAGGGAGACCAAGAGGAAAAAACCCAAAACACTGACCTCTAAGAAAGAAGGTCTTGGAGTTTTCTTACTTGTTGACATTGAAGGAAACAAAGAAATCAACAGGACACCTCCTCCGTCCTTTTAAATCCTACCCTACTACTGGGATTGGACTGATTTCCAGCTCTGAAAAGGCTTCAGAGAATACTCAGAAACTCTGTGAACATGAGTAGGAGAATTTTGATAGATTAAGAACAAATGTTAACAGTCAAGCCCTTCCAAGAATGTTCAGCTTTCTTTCTCCAGGAGTATTCGGTTGAGTTGCCTTTAAAGGACACAGTTGGATATGTAACATTTCAGACCCTTGACCTCTGGGATTTGGGGTGTTTTGGGGGGAGCACTAAAGTTTTTCCAGAATGAGCCACTTCTTTAACCAGAAAGGGATGCCTCCCACAGCTAACATGGGAAAACTAATCTTTGGAAAGCAAATACCTTGGGAAGAAAAGCTTTAATGCCTGTAATTAATTCTTCTTGTTTATTGTAATCTAAGCAAAAGCTGACTGAAAACTCTTGTGTGTGTGTGCGTGATTGTCTGTGTAAGAGAAGGATGGAGGAGAATGGACCCCCATCCTTTTTTTTTAAGAGGAGTTAAAATGAATTATAGAAAGATACGTTTCACTCCCAGAAAAGATTAATTTGGGAAACATTTCTTTTGACATATTGCTCATAATTAAAGTAATTCTTCATTTTCTCTGTTTCCTTTTAGTAAAAATTTGTGGCTTTATTTAACCTTCCATCAATTAACTCTCTCAAAGGAAAATAACCTTGAACCCCATAAGCACACACACTTAATTCTCTATTGACAGAGAAAAGATAAGCCACAGTTGCCCCCTGACTGCAGGGACTCCAGCATTATTGCAGCTCTGAGGGCAGATGTCCTGTGTGCACCCATCTCTAGTTTCCTGCTTTTATTAACAGGGGTTTCAACTTTGAGATTCTGCCTTCCACATTTCACCAATGTGCACAGACACAGAATTCTATTAAAACTATGCTGCTAGAAATGTTAGCACAGAAACATTCTTCATTCAACGAATATGTTTTGATCTCCTTTGTGCTAGGCACTGAGGACACAATAGCGAGCAAAAGAAGCATGGTTGCTTCCTTCATGGGGCTAATAATCTGGTAGGGGAGAGAGAAATTAACTAAATGAAATAATTACAAATAGTAAAAAAGCATTATGAAGAAAAACGCAGAGTGCTATGAGATCAATCGATCGATTGATTGATGTACAGGGCAAGGAGGTGTTGGGGGGAAGTTTGTCAGAACAGAAAAGTCTTTCCTGACGAAATATCCGAACTAACATCTGAAGGATGACTGTTATGTTCATACAGTGGGGTTCAATATAACAATTAAAAGTGAATGAGCAAGAATAACATGTAGCAAAATGGAATGGCCCTCTAAATCATATTATTTGGGAAAAAAAATCCCCTGGGTGTGAGTGGGTCTGATCTAATCAGGTGAGCCCTATTACTAGAGCTTCTAGAAGACAGAGAGAAAAGTCAGAGAGATTCTTTCTCTCGTGGCCTTGAAAACACAAACTGCTGTTGTGGAGAGGGCCCATGTCAGGCAAGTGCAGGTGGCCTCTAAAAGCTGAGAGTGATCCCCACTCGAAAGCCAGCAAGAAAACAGGGACCCTAGTCTACGACCGCAAGGAACTGAATTCTGCCAATGACTGGTGATCTTGGAAGGGAACCCTGAGCCTCAGATGAGCTCACAGCCCCAAGTGACTTTTGATTCCAGCCTTGTAAGGCCTTGAGCAGAGACTCCAGTCACCCTGTGCCCGAACTCCTGACTCGTGAAACAGAGATCCTAACTTTGTGCCATATTAAGCCTCTAAGTTTGTGGTAACTTGTCCCACAGTAAGAGAAAACAAATACAACCGCTGTAGTAAATGTTAGGCAAATGTACAACGTCACAAAATAAGGGACGGGAAGGAGCGTCTTGGCCAACCCCCTCACATTGTAGAAGACGATGGTGAGGTTTGCAGGGCTGGTGTGAACTGCTCAGGGGTGAACATCTAGTTAGTGACACAGGGTCACTAGAGTCCAGTAAGAAGACTGAGGAGCGGAAAAACACAAGAGCAAGATATTATCAGGGGACAGGAAAGAAGAATAAGGTAGTGATGCTGGAGTGTTCTACATTAGTGTCTAAGTTAAAAATACACAAATGGAAGGGGAGTGATAAAGCAGACCTGGTTTCCAGCACGACGCTGCCACTTGGTTGTCGAATGGTCTCAGACAATTTGTTTAACTTTTACAAGTTTCAGTTTCTTCATCTCTAAAATAAATATATATATCTAGAGAGAGAGATTTATTTAAAGAAACTGACTTATACAATTATGGAGACTGGCAAGTCCAAAATCTTCAAGGTGGGCCAACAGATTGGAGACCCAGGGAAGAGCTGATGTTGCAGCTCAAGTCCAAAGGCTGTCTGTTGACAAAATTCCCTCTTGTTTGGGGAAGATCAGTCTTTTGTTCTACTGAGGCCTTCAACTGCTTGGATGAGGCCCACCCACATTATGGAGGGCAATCTGCTTTACTCAAACTATACCAATTTAAATGTTAATCTCATCCAAAAACACCCTCACAGAAACATCCAGAATAATGTTTGATCAAATATCTAGGCACCGTGGACCAGTCAAATTGATGCACAAAATTAACCATCTGTACTCTGTATGCCCACTGCAAGTATGTTTTGACCTTGTAGGGATGTCCAATCCATTGATCCTACCACTTTTAAAAACCCCTGACATCACCCTTTGTCCACTCTTCCTTCCTTGCCAGATTAATCATGCACTGCGAACACTCTGCACTCCTTTACCCCTTTCATTCTTCAGACTCAAGAACCTACCTACTTTGTGCTACGTCAATATATTCTATTGACTTTCCATCAGCAACACTAAATGTAAGAAAAGAATGAAACAACTTCTTCAAAATTTCTGTGGGAAAATAATTTTGAGCCAAGAATGCGAACTAACATTAAGACCTGTAAGGATTCAGAAAGTTTACCACCCACTGAATTTCTCAGAAAGAATTACGAGAGCATAGGTTCCAGCAAAGTAAAAAAAGTGAGTATAAGAAAAAGCCATGAATAAAAAAAAATAATAATTGAGCAAGAGAAACTGTAAAACTTATAATTAAGTCTAAATAGTGTTTTATTACTTAAAAAAATAATAACTGTCAATTAACATTCCAGATATTCTCAAGAAAGGAGTGATGATAAGGAAGGCAATCTGGTGGGTGTTAGTGTTTGTGTAGACGACGTGTACTTATTCATTCACTCTAGCTGTCGTTCAACAAACATGTTTCTAAAAAGTGTTCTTTTATGTCTTATTCTAAAGACCTCATGGACACACAATAAGTGGTGAATTTATAGCAATTATATTTAGATGGTTCAAGCCCAAACAAAACCACAAATCTTTACATGCATTTTCTAAATATCTCAAATCCAAGGGTGATTTTGGTTTTCTCTATACTCTCTTAATTATCCTCATAGAATGTCCTGAGTTTCCCATATCAATTGGCAAAGACAAAGACTTTACATTTTTAAGCATATTTATAACAAGATGCTATGGCTCTGGTTCAGGTTTAACTTTACCCTCTGGCCCACACTGCTTTGCATTTCAATCTTCACCCAACATATTCTTCCCAATTTAGTTTTAAATTATAAAATTGAGACTGAACACTATACAAATTTTGGGTGTTGTGAATATAATTTATGGAGACCAGCTGGAGAGCCCAAACTTTGATTGGGTTGTAAATGTTGATGGGAATACCTAGATGTAAATGATTGATGGCATAATTTGACTCCTCTAACTGATTTTTTTCCACAGAAATACCTTCACTTCTTGAAGTTCTGATACTGTCATCCATCATTGCTAGAAAAGAAGAAAAATGTATTAAATAGCATTTACTTTCATTGAATGGAGTGTTTTCTATGATTTCTATTATTAATTGCATTTAATTAATTGCAAAAACTCAATTTCTGATCCCCCTATTACATTATTAGTTTCATCAACTAATTATTAGTATGTTTTTATAATAATATCTGAAAGCAAGTTTTAAAGTTGTGTTTAAATTGTGTCAGGTTTTGCCATGAGATTTGTCGTGTGATTGTTAGAAAATGACTTAGAAAAGTAATTGATCAGCTTAGCCTCTCTCTTCACATAAAACAGTTGTAAACCCTGTGGGTATATCCAGAGATCAAGGATTTCAGTGCTCTGGGTTTCAGACTGGGTGGGTGCTAAAGGAAGAGCATTGCTTTTGTGAATATCCAGCCACCCTCAAATGCTGCCTCTGCTTCGAAACTGATTCTGAAATGAGAGTCATGGGTACATTTTGGCCTGGGGCAGGATAGGGGAGAAGAGAGAGACATCCTTCTTCCTCCTTCCCCCCCGCCTCTCCCCTGTGTCCAAGCACTTGTTTCTGCTGAGAACTTGCTCTTTATGACAGCTGCTCACACTTGGATCTTGGAGACCAAAGTTAAAAGATTCCATTGGGCATTCCAGAATACATCTTATTATGTCCTACAAGAATTCCCTTTCAGCAAAATATCTCTTGCTGAAGATCAAGGTATGGTATTGCAGTGGGAAAAATATTGGATTAGGAGTCAAAACTCCTAGCTAGGTATTAGCCTCAGACCTTTTATTACTAATGTAACCCCTGAGCCTAGAATAGCAATAGAAATTTTGAATGCTACTTATGTAATTTACGAGTACTAGAAGGAGACAGCTGAAACTCCCCCGTCCTCCAGTTTTTTATATTAATGGAAAAGGCTATAATTAAATTATTTATTTGACACTACTTGGTCGACTCTCATAGGCCTAATTACCTCATCAATTCCTCTCCTCAGCCTTGCTTGCTGTGGTACGTTTAGCTGCCTGCGAGGGGACAGCCTGTTCCTACCCCTGGGCCCAGAGAACTTAACCATAGGGGCAATTTTTATTCATAGGACCTGTTTTTACTCATTTGATGTATTGTAATTTAAAGTACTGTAAAATGAAGAAAGCTAAACTCATGTTCTATTGTAATTTAAAAAAAAAAGTTAAAACCAAATGGAAATATTTTGATTATTAGTATTTTGTATTACTGTGTCAACATTGCATCTTTCTAATGTTGACCATCAGGCCCAGGAAGAAATTAGGAAACAGTCATTACTTATTAGGTAGAAAACTCCACTGGAGATCACAAACATGATTACAACGTTGGATCGTCATATTTTGACTAATTTAGCTCCCCAGCTAGACTCTAAGCCCTTGGAGGGCAGACCCATCCCAGCATGTACCAACCACTGTCTGAGGACGGATGACGTAGTGAGCCATCATGGAAGATTTTGAAACATAGAAAATATTCTTTTGTGATAGTAAAGGGCAAGTAATGAAACCCTATTTTTTTTGTAAAATAAACACAAGTGGCAGGTAGAAATGAAGACTACATTTTTTCTAAGCCTGGGTGATATGAATATAATAGAGGGACCTTTCTTTCTTTCTTTTTTATTTTTTTAACATGGAATTCTTTGAGAATTTGCATATCACCCTTGCATGAGGCCACGCTAATCTGTGTGTCATTCCAATTTTAGTGTGTGTGCTGCCGAAGTGAACACAGCAAGACCTTCGCTTCAGCGCAGGGTCTGGCACAGAATGGGCCATCGGTAACTGCATTTTTATGGATAGAAATGGTTGATATACTGACACCCGCTTGGCTTAACGCTTTGTATATTCTCATCACCTTATATAAGTGAATTAGCAAACTTGTCCCCTCTTGATTTTGGTTTTATTTTCGGTCACAGTGTGCCCCAGGTAAACCGATCCCTTTTTTTTTTTAACCAAAAACTGAATCACAAGATAAATATGGGAAGAGAGGACCCGAGCCCATTTCCAAGCCCCAAGTGAAGGAGCTGTTAGGTTGAGGAGGGGAAGGTGCAAAGGCAGAGCAGAGCCGCTCACAGCGGATGTCCCCCGGGCCCCTTTCTCTTCCCTTCCCCTCCTCTCCTGCCTCCTCTCTCCTGTGCGACTAGCCCAAAAATTGAGGAAATTTCTACATCTAAGAAAATGGAACCATTTTTGGATCAAAATATCTGTAAAACTGCAATCTGAGCAGATGTAAGCATTGATAAACCAGACCACATTTCAGCCTTTAAATACAGGCCACAGACATACAGCCAGGTAAGAAGTGCAGGTGAGAAGGAGCAGTTTAAGGGAGGGGAGGCCCAGAGCTTTTGCTCTGCGTGGTGGAGGGACAGAGCGGGAGCTGAACAGATTTGAAGCTGCCCTTGTCTAGGATTGTGGAAATGGGCAAGACATTTATGTTTAGAGGAAATTTCACGTGGCACCTGGCCATGGTCATTTCGGGCCCAATCATGCCAGTCTTTTCAACCAGAGTGAGTAACTTCCTCGTAGAATTTAATATCTGTGAAGAAATCATAACTCCTTGTCTGGGGGTACACAGTGGAGAGAGGCAGGCCGATCTATGTCAAGGATCTAACCAAGGCTCTGTCACCTTCCTGCCCTCGCAGTTTGAGTCTGCAGGTTTCCACCTGTCTGCAATAACACAGTGAAAAATAGCAAGTTTCAAAAAAATGAAGAAAACAGCTTGAGTTTAATACTGACTTGATTTGAGTATTTATTTTCAACCAGGAGCTCCCTTTGGTGATCTTTCCTCTGGGTGAAAGAGTTGACAGCAAAGAAAGTCCTCAGTTCTGACACGTTTACCAGCTCACTCTTGTCTCTGAGCCTGCGGTTTGCCTGACACACTGAACAAGTCCACAAGGCTTCAGAGAATCTGAGATATTCCTGGGAAAAGGCAAGTATGAAAACTGCTATTTATTTAAAAAGGGCAGGTTGAGGTTAGGCATCGTTTGGAGGGACACATCAATCTAGTTTGCAGAAAAATATGTATTCTGTAGAACTAGTATTTCACAAAGCAGATGAAAATATTATCATTTCAAAGTTAGTATTTTGATGGTTGAAAGTTCTTTATCTAAGTAAGTGAGTTTTTCTTAAAAAAAAAAAAGAAATTAACCTGATAATGACATCCATATCCTTCAGTTCATTTACATGTATAATGTGAAGAATTACCATCTATTTAACTCTAGTGGGACTCAGGTACTTTAGAGACCTTTACATGCTGATTTTCTCTGCTCCATTTCCTCTTAAAGTATTTATCAGAAGACACTGACTTGTTAATTAATCTGCCTCTTTCTCCTTCAATGACTTCAAGTGGGATTCTCAAAAGAAGGTCCAAGGACATCCGCATTTGAATAACCTGCACAATTTATTACAATGCAGATTCTTGGGCCTCAGCCCACATCTCCTGAACCAGACTTTCTAGGCTCAAGGCCTAGGATTTTTTGTATTTTTAATAAACTCACCTGGTGATTCACCTAGAATTTCAGAATTCTTTCATAGTGGGAAAACTTACTTTCCAAGGAGTGGCGGCTTTAATTCAAAAGTGGGACCTGGGCAGAAAATTCAGAGCTTTCTAGTCAACAGAATACCATCATGCATCAAATAGAAGTTTTGTAAACTTCCACACTAAAAATGCGTATTTCCAATAGTATTTTAGGACAGCTTATCATGTTGGTAATTTATCAGCAGAATTAATTGAACTGAGATACACACACACACACGCATACATATGTATATGTATATATATGGTCAGGTATATGCTTAACATTAAGAATATATACTTTTCCTTATGGGAAGTTTAAAAGTAACATAATATTACTCTGTTGCGTGAGTGGCCGCAGAGACCTGCATTCCTGGAACATGAGTCACAGGAGGCTTTTCTGTCCCATCACACCAAGGAAACTCAGGACTCAGGAATGTCCTGATCCTATGACTATTAAACACATTGTTACTTGCAAGTAACAACTAATAGAACTTGATAATAACACTTCAGTAGCTTGATTACGGCACTCTCTAAATTTCAGTTAATGACTATTAATGTATAACCAAGACAGTCTTTTAAAAATGTCTACCAAGGTAGGAAGTTTGAAATAGGTCGTACTGGGAGACGAACATCAGCTCCGAGATGGACTGCAACGTACCTCCTCCATGCTCAGGGCAAGAGCAGTGACTCTCAGCTGTGGTTCCATGTTATGATCACCCACAGAGCTTTCCAAGAAAACACCCATACCTAAGCCTCACCCCAGAAATTCTGATTTAATTAAACTGAGCTGGAAGAATGATGAGAAGAACTGGAAAGGAAGATTTTCAGTCCTGGAAGGCTAAACAGGAGGACATTTTGAGGAAAAAGGGCCAACATAAAATGTCTAATAATCAAACCACAACATTCAGCGTATTCTGTTGGTGAAGACTGTAGGGTCTGAACATTAATAGTAAAGATACAAACTCAGGACGGTAAAGATAACAGGAAGGGACCCATCATCAGAATAGAGACTTCAATACTTTCCTGGAAGTACAAGAGTGACTGGTGCTTGCTGACGTGGAAGAGAGGCAGCTGAAGCCTGAAATGGAGGGAGAGCTGAAGGTAAGAAGGCAACCCCTCAGCTCTGCACAGCCCTGAGAGGTGTGGCTCTTAGAATCACAGGGACAGTGGAGGTGGGAGTGAAAGATGGGGCACAGAGCAAGGGGTTAATTAAAGCACCAAATGTAAATTACGCGGCCACTGCCTGCCCTCCCCCAGCACTCCTGGCAGCCAGGCATGACTCCTTTAACAAACACACAAACGGAAGCAGGAGGAGGATCTTTTCTCATGGCATTGGATGAACAATCTGAGGAGAACCGGGACAACCAGGAAGGGAGTGGAGCAAATGCCTCTGTGTTCTGTCATTTTAGAGTCCCTTCATGTGAGAGCCGGCTCCCTGGCCCCTCACCCTGGAGTGCAGCTGGCTAACTGACAAGCTCCATTCACCTCAGAGAGCTCACAAACTGACTCTACTTAAATCTAAGCAAAAAAACACGAGATACCAAACATGAGCAAATCCTGCAACTAAAAAAGAGAAAGATCAAAATCAACAAACAGAAAGAGTGATCCTGGAGGATACAGAGTTAATTCAGAATTCAGAAAAAAAAAATCCTTCTAATTAATGTTAGAGAGATCAGTGATGATTCTGCATCCATAAAACAAAAACAGGATGCAATGAAAAAAGAACATTTAGAGAACAAAAAGGGCTCTGGATACTTAAAAAATGTGTGTTTTATGAAACAATAAGAAAAAGGAAAAATAGAAGGATTTGAAGAGATTGTTGAGTAACCTCCTAGAATAAAAATCAAAAAGTTAAAAAATAGAAAATAGCAAAAAGTTTTGACATATATTAACATATATAATTATTCAAAATTCAACATCCTATTGATAGGAAATTTAGAAAGAGAATGGATAAGACGGAGGAGAGGAAAAAAAAAAAACTACCCGGAGTGGAAGAAAAAGTCTTCAGTGAGTTCCCAGAGCATCTAATATTTGAGCCATCTCTTACTGTCAAAGTGTGATAAAATTTCCCAATCCCAGGGAAAAAAATTCTCCCAGTAATTTTCAGGGAGAAGAAACAGGACATTAACAAAATAACAAGCATATTGTTATTGTATTGGCATTGGCCATCCAGTCAACAATTGTAAATGCTAGAAGGTAATAGAACAATGCCTTCAGAGCTTTGAGTGTAAATTATTTTTCGCTTAGAATTCTAAAAGCAGTCAAACCAACTATCCAAAGAAGGGTACATTTTTAAAACCCTCAAAAATGTAAATCCCCTGCAAGATACTTTCTGCCACTATTTCTTAGGACATTGCTTGAGGATATGTTGTTGTACAATGGGACAGTAAACCAAGAAAAAGGAAAGCATGAGATCTGGCAAGTAGATGATCCAGTCCAGGAGAGGACTGTGCAGTGATTCGTCCTGGGGAGAACTCAGAACAACTCGGAACAGGATAAACGAAGCCTTGAGAATAGATATCAAAAGAAAAAAAGAGATTTAATACTATTCTTGAGATATTAAAAGAATGTAGGAGACAGAAAAGTCAGGGAATTTAAGAAAAAAAGAAAAGCAATTAGAAACGTCAAGAAAACATATCAACCAGATAAGAAACTAAGTGTAATCCTAGTACATTGCTTGGCATTGCAATGGATACTGTTTATATGGTCATTAGAATGTAAACAGTGGTTAATCACTTTCAACTTTAATAGACAACCTATAGATATAGTATGAAACAATTGTTAGGAGCAAAGACTAAAATTCTTACTGGCTATGTGAATCCAGAAATTTACTTAATTTCTGTGTTACTCAATTTCCTTTCTGTAAGGTGCACATCATAAGTTATTTTATAGTCTTGAGAGGCTTAAATGAGTTACTTTACACAAAGCACTTCTAGTAGTGCTTGACACATAGTAGGTCCTCAACAGGTATCAGTCAAAACAACAACAAACTACATATAAAAAATAGAAGTATTTATTGACCTACCACAAAAATGAAATGTTATTAAATTTGATAAGAACTGGATAAGCACAAATGGCTGAATGTGGGGATGAATAACACAGTGGAGTCAAAAGATACTATTTACAGTTGATAGAAACAAAAATAATTATCAAAAGCAACTAAAAGAAAAACAAAATTTACCAACATGATTGTGTAAATGAGTTAAATAATAACCTATCATAGCAGGAAGCTAATAACAGATTATAGCTATAATTAATAAATCAAAAGCTGGCATGTAAACTTGTAGAAATATAGGGGGAAACAGCAGAAGAACCAAAAGAAGTAAAAGTGGTTGTCTTTGAGGTTCAAGGAGGGTAAATATCTTTACTTTTGGATATCTTACAATTTTATTTGTCAATTCTACCTCAACAAAGCTGAAAAAAAACATGGGAAGATGGAGTTTGGGAGTGGATGGTGGGAGCAGAAGACCGATGCTTTGCATTTTGAACTCTTTGTACCATTTTGCATTTAAACCATGTGCATGCATTACTTTTATTACAAAAAATAAATATTTTTTAAAAAGAAATAAAATTAGCACTATAATATCTAGAATTCTTGCTAAGAATTTTAGGAAACTCAGAGAGTTTGGAAAATATGAAAATTATAGGGAAGGAAGGACAATTTCCGGATGAAATTTTATCATTTTAAAATAATCTAGTAATCGATCGTAAGAGACAAAGGTGATGCTTACTTTTACTGGAATCGAGCAAAACTCCCAGTACAGCTGAAGGCGAGTGAAGTCTAGTCCCAATCCCTCCTTTACTTCCCCTGCTCCGCGAAATCATCGAGCGTAGTTTGGGGAGTTGTTTGACTACTGACTTCAAGCTCTTTGGGGTCCCTTTTGCCATCCAGTCTGCCTTCTCCTCTGGTCTCTTTCTTTCCCGGCTGCCCTGTGAAGATTTCTGTATCGTTAGATTTCCTTTCCAGTGTTCCCAAAGGATGAGCGCATTTGCAGTCAGTCCTGGAAACTTGGTCTTTATCCTGAATCTGTACTCAGAAGCCACTAGAGATGGATCATGTGGATACTCTTATTAAGAAAATGTTTAATACATACTAAAAATAGCGATGGTTGCTTTGGTGAATTTCACCAATGTTTCTGAATCTGGACCTCACAGAACATGCATTTTTCGGCTGTTTGACTTCTTTTATTCTTCGGTCGGTACCTAAGACCTCAAAATTCATAATCCTATTCAGTCATTTGCTTAGGCTAGAGGAATGGAGGATGAACATACTTCTGTCTGCCAAAGCTGACCAGAGTTTCTTAGAAACTGGAAGAAAACCCCACCCTGGAAGCTTTAGTTGGATGCCTCAGAACCATATTCTTCATTTGTATATATTTCAAGAGGTTGGCTAAGAAGCATAGCCTGC